CCCCAGCCTCCCAAAGTGCTAGGATTATAGGCGTGAGCCACCACACCCGGCTAGAGAAGCTAACATTTAAATAGAGACACACCAAAGGGAAAGGAGGCCATGTGAAGATCAGGAATGAGCATTCCAGGCATTAGCATTAGCAAGTGCAGAGGTCATGAGGTAGGAGTGTGCTTGGCCTGCTTAAAGAACAGCAAGAAGGCCAGTGTGGGTGGATCAGAACAGCAGGGGAGAGAGAGGTTAGAGGTGATATTGAAGAGGGAGAACAGAGCCAGAAAATGGAGACCCTTGTAGGTAACAGTAAAGACTTTGGGTCTTATTCTATGTGATGAACTTAAAGCCATTGAAGCTTTAAAACAGGAAAGTGGCATTTGATTTACATTTTTAAAAAGACAGCTTTAGCTCCTACACAGAGAATAGAGAAGCAAGGACAAAAGCTGGAGACCAATTGGGAGGCTATTGCAAGAGTCCTTAGGTTGATTTAGACGCCTACCAAGGATATTGCTTCCTTATTGACCAGAAAATGCCAGAGTTACACAAAGTGTAAGAATACAGTCTAACTCCATGAAAGGGAAGGCAGGATGTCAGTGGGGTGTGAGCTTTCACAGATATTCTAGGTGTAGGAAAAAAATAAGGGTGCCCTCAAGGATTTGGAATGACTTTTATGAGGAAATAGAAGCCATGATGGATGCCTTCATATGATGGATGATTTAATTAATCAATTTATTAAATTTAATAGTTCTTCAAACTTCTAGATTGTTGCAAAACAGGGAATAGGAATTATCATTAAGGTCCAGTGCTGCATCTCTGTATTATATTTAAATGCCACTTTGAAAATCTAAAACTGAATGTGTGTAAGATGTGGATGTAGGACTAGGGAAAGGGTAGAATTAAGGATGAGTCCATGGAGTCTGGCCTGGGCAACTGGATAAATGCAGACCATCTACCAAGAAGGGCAAGACTGGAGGAGGAACACTCACTTTTGGGCCCATCATTCCTCCACATCAATGAACAATGGTGAGCTCTGCCATTTCATCTGATAACCCAAAGGAGTGGCCTGGTAAGGAGATGTTAAAGCTTAAAAGGTTGCATGTGAAATGTTGCATCTTAAGATGTTGCACCTGGTGTCAATAAAGATCAGGTGAGGGAGCGTCTGGATTTCTTTCTTCACATTGAATTTGGTTTAAGCATCTGACTTCTAGTTTACAAGCATATGATCAGAAGACACGTATTAGTGAAAGCTTATTTATACCACAACATGTACAATTCTGTTTTAAAGAAAGGTACTCATTCAAATTAATTTTATTGTCTTTTAAATCATTTAGAATAGTTTTAGATTGGTTCAGATCATTAATATCTAAATTTGGTACAATCTTTAAAGAAGGATGGTCTTAGTGATTCAAAGTGCACCAATTATTATTCATGTTTAATTTCCTTCTCAAATGTATGCAGCGATTAGAGACCTGGAGAGTTTTACTGCTGAAGTGAGGTATCTGATGGCACCAGAAAGCTAAATAAGGTTTGGAAATGAGGCAAGCCTGAAAAAAAATTGATCTACTCTTTTAAGAGTGGATAGGTGGGCAGGGCACATTGGTTCATGCCTGTAATCCTACCATTCTGGGAGGCCAAGGTGGGAGGATAGCTTAGCTCAGGAGTTCAAGACCAGCCTGAGCAAGAGTGAGATGCTGTCTCTACTAAAGATTAAAAATTTAGCCAGGCATCATGGTGCATGCCTGTAATCCTAGCTACTTAGGAGACTGAGGCAAGAGGATCGTTTGACCCCAGGAGTTTGAGGTTGCAGTGAGCTATGATGACACCACTGCACTCTATCTGGGGCAACAGAGCAAGACTGCGTTCCCCCCAAAAGGAAAAACAGAGCAAATAGGTGACATGCAGTCTTGGAATTTCAAAACGCACATAAAATACAATAAATATGATAGTTTAAAAAAGTGCGCATACACACACACACACACACACACACACACACACAATACCTCTTCTTAAAAATGGAATATGGTCATCCTGAATCAAACCTCCAAAACCATAATTCCGGAAGTACTGCCTCTCCAAAGAGTGATCCTTGAGCACACCCAATTCATGAAGTTCATGTTCTGTAGATGACAATTAGACAGCAGATGAACATCTATTTTTATCTGATCAAAACTCAGAATGTATACTTCTTTAAAGAGTTCAAAATCTTAGCATACTTGGCCATAATTCTTAAAAGATTATGCAACAGTGAGCATGGCCACACCTATGACAATAAACATCTGGGTTGAATTTGGGTGTGTACATTTTGAAATAAGAGGGAGAGAAGAGTCACACATGGCTCTAGCCCTACAGGTGAGAACCTCCTTAGAAGTAGAAACTCAACAGAACAATGGAGAGATACAGAATGAGAAAACCAGAGGAAAATGGGGTAAAAACACAGGTGTAGATGCCTCTAAGGCCAAGATGCTGCACAAAGAATCCCTTAAGATGAGACACAGGGCTTAAAAGTGAAATACTCAAACATAATAGGTATATTAAGGTATAGGTATAGGTAATACTCAAACATAACAGTATATCAAGTGACCACTCTATAGGAAAGGGATACCTATTGTGACCTACATCACTGGTTCTCAAAATGTGAACCCTGACCAACATCAGCATCACCTCAGAGCTTGTTAGAAATGCCAATTATCTGGTCCCACTTCAGACTTATGGACATTCTGGGGGTAAAGCCCAGCAATCAGTGTTAACAAGCCTTCCAGGTGATTCTGAGGCACACTGAAGTTTGATACCCACTGGCCTGCATAACCCCTGTGTTATACATTACAAGATGACAAATGATCACACGAATATTATAATACAACCAAGTGAAACTAGGATAGCTGTTTCTTTTTGTTTTTTGGGGTTTTTTTTGAGACAAAGTCTCACTCTGTTGCCCTGGCTAGAGTGAGTGCTGTGGTGTTAGCCTAGCTCACAGCAACCTCAAACTCCTGGGCTCAAGCGATCCTACTGCCTCAGCCTCCTGAGTACCACCACGCCCGGCTAATTTTTTTCTATATATTTTTAGTTGTCCAGATAATTTCTTTCTATTTTTTTAGTAGAGATGGGGTCTCACTCTTGCTCAGGCTGGTCTCAAACTCCTGAGCTCAAACGATCCGCCCGCCTCGGCCTCCCAGAGTGCTAGGATTACAGGCGTGAGCCACTGTGCCCAGCCAGCTGTTTTTTTTTTAACTGTTAAATTTAAAGGGTGAAACTGGACCAACTGGTAAGTAAGCATATGTATTAAAAATATGATTATAGGAACAGTGAGAAAGCCCTAACCACGACCAAAAACAACATTCTCGTCCATTTATTGATACCTACAATTCCTCTACCAAAGGATACAAGTTTTTCTTACACAATTATAGATATGGTTTGAAATGTAAATACCAGTAGGCAGGGCAGCACAATGGGTTAAAATTGCAATAAAAGTGTTATTAATAGAAGTTCATTCTGGTATAGGAAATAAAAGTGCACAAGAGCCTTGAATGAAGGCCAAACCCAATTTCTTGAGGCTACCATCAAAGTAAGGAAAACAAGCTATAAGGAAGAGGCCCAAGAAATTTATATTAATAATACCATAATAGCAATTCTTTCAAACTAGGAATTTAAATTTGTCAAAGATGAGCATCTGAAGTTCAGGTAGAAATTTCTCTTGTAAGATTCTAGATCTAGATATTGGCAAATTCTTAACTCATGGCAAAAGCATGCTTTTCTCACTGCTTAGAAGGAATATAATTCTATCTTGCTCCAAAAATTTTGTGTGGCTAATGAGGAATTTCTAGCATGAAGTTCTTGCCTAGAAAGCAGCCCCCTGGCCTGGATTCTATAATAAAGGTCAATCTCATTTTCATCTTTCCCTGATGTCTGAAGTGTTTGTTTTGTTGTGTTGCTTTGTTTTGTTTCGTTTGGGGTGGGGTGGAAGCATGAAGGGAAGAAGTTTTTCTCCTTTTCTTCCCTCAAGTCCCAAATGTCTCCCTTGAGCCACAGATATCTATGTTTCTTGGCCTGGTCTGGCCTGACCTGGTCTGGTAACAGAGAAGCCACCCCTCCTCCCATAGATATGGAAGGGTAATATTGACAGTGGGGAATATGTAACAGAGGGAATGGCCTGGAAAAAAAAAAAAAACAGCAAAAATATTTTCTGTCCCTTTAAACTACCCCCACTCCTTTTTGAGAACTAAAACCTGCACCCCTGCCTCAGGCCACTGGTTGGGAGGAGCAGAGGAAAATCCTTTGTTCTTCCTGCTATAAGAGATTGCTCAACTGGAACCCTCCAGGCAGAGGTCTGGGTGGAGGTCAGAAGATGGGACAGATCAGAATCGTTGACTGTAGTTGAACAGCAATTGCCTGTAGCTGAATAACCACCCTTTAAAAGCTCTGTATTTCTGCTTATGTATGGGAATTAGGATTTTGAGATACAAGTCTGCCATTTTCCCCCTTTACCAGCAAAGTAATAAACTTCTCTTTCCTTCTCCTCAAACCACTTATTCTTATTCTTCTGATGTGGCCTCGAGGACAAGTGCTGAGCTTTTGGGAACAGTCTATCTTAGTCTACTCCCATTCATTTGACTCTAACTTGTCTTTTAAACAGCTCTTGAGGATCTGGCTTTCTCTTCATTCTGGCTTTCTCTATTACTTCTTAGGAAAACTGGCAGAGATTATACTAGACTTAAAGGACAATAACGTCTGGATAAGGTAGAAAATAGAAGATGACAAAGACAGAGATACAAAAGAAAGAAAAATTAAAGGGTATCTTTTGGTATCACTTTAAGAACATAACATTCATCATTAGCCAACATTCTTTGCTGAGTAAAGTTTTCCCTAGAAATGCCTTCCATGTGCTTCAAACAGAACTCTAGGAAAATATTCTCAAACCATTTCTAAGGATATGGAAACTGAAATGTAGTATTACATGTTTCCATTTCAAAATATAGTTTCATGCAGGAAAATAAACTAGGCCTACTAAAGGAAGATGAATAGGAATAATAAATCAATAAAGCAAGAAAAAAGCCAGTAAAGTATACTATATATTTAACTCAAGCACTTTAATTATAAATTTTGAATTTTAAAAGGTAGTATTTGTCAATAAGAAGAAATCAGATTTTACTCTTTAATAACAGTGGTACGTACCAATTGTTTGAAGTCTATGAAACCATCTGGCAGAATTTGGAAAAAAGTTGGGAAATGTTGGGTTTGGAGCTCCAATTAAATCCAATAAGACTAATAAATCCTAAGGAAGAAAAAATATTGTTTAATCACTGTCACCAAAGAATGTTTCCTATTCATCAATGGGGAAAAACAATCAGTGAAAACTAACTGCATATCAGAAATTGAGAATAATATGGAGAGTTGCATAAATGAACAAAAGATTAGTAACATATGCTAATCATTTCAGAGAACTTTTTAAATCTCACTTACGCAATGTGGACAAATGGGAAAGTGTTGATTCTTTGTGTGTATAACTCCAAAAGCATATCATTAAGAATAAATTAGAAAGAGGATATCTGGATAAATATTTCATAGATTTAAAAAGAATACATTTATTTTATTTTCAGATGGGATTCCATGCCTGTCTGATCTTCTATTCTATTCCAATTAGCCATTTTTTCCTTAATCTGTAATGATACAACTCCCAAAAGAGAGCACTTGGATAGTAACTAGTTATTGATCAAGCAGCATCTATAAAAATTCCTTGTATAGGAGCTTATATGACATTGTATCTACGGGTCTCCATTTTCTTATATATCAAATGAGGAGCTCAAACTAGCTGATCTCTAAAAGGTTCCTTCTGGTTATAACCCTCTGTAATTAAACTAGTTTTCCTTAACTTGTTTGAGCCATAAAACCAGCCTCAAGCAGGCTTGAGGACTCCCTGAAGACTACCCCCCAGATTAAGACTCCCTGATTTATATAAGTGAAATAATGTGGGGGTAAATATCTAGCACAGATTCTGACACATAGTGGATATTTCAGAGTCTATGATTCTAAAGACATAGTATGTATAAATTCATGAATGATAAATATATTCATTTTAAGAAAATTAGGCTCGTTTGAAATAGGAACATACACATGAGGTTGGATAGGCTACTAAGAGTTTGTTTATAGGGGGAAAAATGGTCTCAACCATCACTGTGGATTCATATATTTGGAGTGGTAAATAAATAATTTTGTTCAGCAGCCAGGTTCTCTGAACACTTTTTAGCCACTTGGGCACACATAAATGAATGAGGTGCTGACCACATTCCCCTGACCTCTATAAGCTGCCACTGGGCAACAGGAGGGAGAGAGTGCCAGGTATGTTAGAGTCACAGAAGACACTGAACATGGCCTCGTGAACGTACAGGGTGAAGGTCAGTGATAGGCAAAGAGCAGGAAAGAGAGGAGGGGTTGGGAATAAGCGGTCAGTTCACAGATGGGGGGTCAGGCATGGATGGAGGCACTGGGAAGACTGAAGTCTCAAGAGTAGCATGAGGTTCCAAGCTGGGGTTAATGAGGACTCCGGTCTGAGTAAAGATCAAATATGGGAAGACAGTCAGAGCAGGGAGAGGACTCAGGGGTGGGTATGGAGTGTGGTCCAGGAATGGGGAAGAAAACGAGGCTGTGTGTCAGACCCATTACTTAGTAATAATAGCAGAGTTTTAAGGCAGCATCAAAATGTCCCCACCCCCATGTCAAAAATGCCACATCAAAACCAACACATCAAAATGTCATACACACGCTGGGGTTACTATAATGCTGTGAAGCCACCAAGGAAATTCTTCACTCCCACCCCTTCCTGTTGCACTTCCCAGGACCCCATGCTCCTCAGACTTTAAAAACGCCTCCAAGAAGGGGTTTGCTCTCTCTACCTCCATGCAGTACTGGGGGAATGTACTCCCACTGGACCCAATTGCATCTGATGTTTCCTTAATCTGATTTTTTACATCATTTTAATTAAGCTCAGTCAAACATGGCTTCTAACCCAGAATTATTCTTTTTAGCTCTGGGATTCCTCAAAAACTCAATGCCTGCCAAGGAATGTTCTATTATAAACACTCTGCTCCAAGGATGCCATGGCATTTTTAGGTCTTTATTGGCTTTACCCCTTCCCTGGAGGCAGAGCCTGCAGCTGCAGCGCCATGGGAGTTACACAGACTAACCATGCCATGCAGTTGGTTGGTGTCTCTTGCTCCCGGTGGGTGCGGGGTCGATGCCATCTTTGCAGCTAAGTGTCGAGACCCGTAAAGAGAATCTTGAGGAGACCAGTGAAGAAAAGCCTCTTCCCCATCAAAGAAAATCAGCTGGAGTGAAAGATCTGGCTGGGAGTCTGAAACATTCTAGTAAAAAGAACAATAAAAAAATAGCAAAAATGCAGTGATGATTAAAAAATAACATGCTTTCCTATTAACTGGGCAAAAAGATAGATGTGCCATAAAGAAAGGAAGATACTCAAGCAAGTGAAACTGTGCCAAAATTTATTTCACACCACTTCCTCACCAAAAATCATCACACCTCCCACTATCTTCACCCATATACATCACCTTCTCCCACTTCCTCTGAAAATAGGAGTCTTACAATTTTTTCTTACACATCAGAGAACTTTGAAACTACAAAATTGCTATGATGGGATGAACAATGTGATATACCACCCAGTTCCTCTGCAGGAAGGTGTGTTGTCCCAGCTGCTGGGAAAGCTGTTAGCCACTTTAGGAACTGCCTTGGCTACATCTCCTGAGAGTGTCCCATATCCCATGGCTGACCTATATAGGTCCTGGGGACTCTCTGAAGGGCCACTGTACCTCCAGAGTTCGCCAGGGGTTGGCTGAGGCTGTTGTTGATCCTACACTGCAGCTCAACTTCTCCCTCTGCCCAATCCCATTTCTTTCCCCTCCCAGCCACCAGTGTTGATCCAAGGCCACTCCCTAATAAATGACCTGAATGCTAAACTCCACATCTGGGTGCACTTTCCAGGGAATCCACCCTGAAACAACTGCAACTCTTTCTTGCTTCTCACCTTATTTAAGTCTTCAATTCAGACTTAAATCTCCCCTAGGAGCTTCGGAGACACACAGAATAATAATGATAGCCTTTCCCTTGAAAGAGCCTACACTTCAGTTGGGTCAGGGAGAGATAAAACAAATACATGAGTATGGCAAAATGTGCCAAGGGCCACAAATGTCACATAAAAGTCCTCTGGAAATTGGATGGAATGAGAAGTGGAATCCTTGAGGTGTCAAGAAAGGCTTTATGGAAGAGACAGTATTTGAGTAGAACTAAGAAGGGTGAGTAGGATTCTGACTGATTTTCCACTGTCTAACAACAACTCTTACCTTTCCGATTAGTCCTGGGACTCTAAGCCCCATAACCCTTCAGTCCCACCAGAAACCCTAATCTATTGCATCTTTCACCTTTTCACAGTCCTTCATCCTCATAATGTCCTCACTTCACTCCATGTTTAGTTTAAATTCCAGTCAATCATTCTAATCACTCCCTTGCATACACCCTCAACTCCCTCGCCTCTCTCTGCCTTGGTCAAACTGTCATGGCAAAAACATAACTTAGGTCCATCTCTCTGCCTACTTTGCGCCTGCACTCATGCAGCTAAATCTAACTAAAGAAAAATATTTATATATTATTTATATAAATATTTTTCTGGTCTTGCTTAAAATACATGACCACAAACCTTGAATTGGCCTTTCATGTTGACTGGTAAGTATTTTCTTTGTTCATTCACTCTTGCACTCTTCTAGTATTTCATATTCCTCCTCTCTCTAGCACCTCACCCATCCTCACTCCCAACGGATGACCTTGATTTCTTCTTGCCATGCTCATATTAGATGCCAGTCTCTCCACTTGTGCACAAAATCCTATTCCCTCCCACCTGCTCAAGGACACCATTCTAGCCAATACCATTTCTCTCCTACATCATCAATTTTTCTCTCTGCTGAATTTGTTCCCATGAGCCTACAAACATGCTCTTGCTTCTCTAACCTTAAAATGTTTGGCCCTACTATCTCCACCAGCTACTGCCCTATTTATTTATTTTTTGTCCCATCTAGGGCAAAACTCCTTGAGGGAATTGTTTACTCACATTGTCTCCAATTCCCCTTCTTAACCCTGCCCCAGTCAGGCTTTATCTTCACCTTCTACTGCAACTGCTCTTGTCAAGGGCACCAGTGACCTCTACATCACTACGTCCAATGGTCAACTCTCAATTGTCATGTTTCTTGACTTGTGGGCAGCATTTGACATAGTGGATCACTCCCTCCTGGATACAGTTTCTTCATTTGGCTTCTAGGACACCATATTCCTCCTGCCTCAGTCAGCACTGATGGTTCCCTTCGTCACCCTTTCCTCTTAGTGCTGGAGAGCACTGGGACTTGCTCCTTGGTTCTCTTCTCTGTCCACACTCACTCCTTTGATATCTATTCTTGAGGCTTTAACTTATGGACATGTATATACACACACATGATATAAACACTACATACATGTACATACACACAGGTATATATATATATATATATATATATATATATATCTCAACAAAAATTCAAAAAAAATTATTTCCAGCCCTGACCTCATTCCTGATCTCCAGATCTGTATATTTGATTGCCAAATGAACATCTCCACATAGATGTTTACAGACATCTCAAACACAAAGTGTCAAAACTCAACTCCCGATATTCCTCCTGAAATAACCTGCATTACCAATAGTCCCCTTAGCTAAATTGACGGCAACACTACCCTGCAGTTACTCAGACCAAAAACCGCTGGGGTTCTCTCTTTCTCTCTCCATATTACACACACACCCTCAATCCAGTTCGCCCTGCCTCTGCAAACCTATTTCCCACCATTCCTCACCACATGCCTCTCTTTTTAATTTGCTTTGTTTTCTTTGAGGCTAATTTATCTCTGTAGTCAAACTCTCCAGATACCATAGCACTTTTGTCTCTCGTGAGTCTGTCTGGTTTTGTTTTTATGGACATACTCCTCCTGGAGCCCTCTCCTGCTACCTCCAGCCTGGGCTGGCTCCTAGGCCTGCTACCACCCTGTTCTCTCAGGTCTCCCCACACACAGTCACCCTAGCGACTCCCTCTGCCTCTCCCATATGGGATTTCCAGTGACCCAAACACCATGACTCCTTCCATGATTTATTCTTTGATTTTGCTGGAGCATATCTTTAAGCAACTTCTAAAAAAGAAACAGTATATGGGAGTGAAAATTATTGAGACTTATGTCTGAAAATGTCTTCATCCTATTCTCCTATTTGGTTTGGCTGGGTATGAGGATTCTAGGTTGCAAATTGTTCTTATTTAAAATATTTAAGGCATGATTTCATTGCATTGTTTTCTAGCTCCCAAGGTTTCTGTTGAGAAGTCCAATGCCATTCTCATTCCCAATAGTTTTTTTGTTTTGTTTTGTTTTGTTTTGCTTTGTTTTTGTTTTTTGGAGGCAGGGTCTTGTTCTATCGCCCAGGCTAGAGTGCAGTGGCATCATCATAGCTCACTGCAACCTCAAACTCCTAGGCTCAAGCCATCCTCCTGCCTCAGCTTCCCAAGTAGCTGGGACTACAGGCACGTGTCCGGCATTTGGCTAATTTTTTTTATTTTTTGTAGAGACAGGGTTTCACTCTTGCTTAGGCTGGTCTCAAGCTCTTGGCCTCAAGCAATCCCCCCACTTTGCCTCTCAAAGTGCTAGGATTATAGGCATGAGCCATCGCACCTGGCCTCCCATAGTTTTTATGTAACCTATTGGAATTCTTGGAATTGAATCTCCTGAAGTAATAATCTCTTTTTTAATCGTTCCTCTCTCAAGAAAAGTTATTTCTTCTACTTTAGTATTCAACCATCTTACTGATTTTTTTTAATTTTGAAAATTAATTTCCAAGAGCTCTTTCTTATTCTGTGATTGTTCTGTTTTTGTAGCATTCTGGTTTTGTTTCATTGATAAAACTTCTCTTATCTCTTGTAAGGATATTAAAAATCATGTCCTCGAAGTTATCTTCTGCTCCTTGTAGTCATTTTCTCCCACCTCATTTTTCAATTTTTACTATTTGTTTTGCTTTCTTCCAGTCAGTGTTCTCACTGAGATCACCAAATGTCACTGTCTGGGATTTTTCTGTGGGGTGATTCGCATTCTCTGGAGAAGCCTCCTCCAGTTTCCTGTTTAATGGGTATACACTGGCAGTTGGCTTTCTGGTGCTGGAGATCTCACTGTTAAATGCATAGACTTTTTGCTAATCTCCCCGACTTCCATGGGGCATCTCACTATTGCCCTCCTATATGCCTGGTGTCCTCAAGTCCAGAACCTCCCTGGTTCAATTTCTCTGCAAAAATATTCTCTCAGCTCCTGCAAAGGCACAAGTGGGGCACTTGCCTACCTGCCGGGGGTAGGGCGGGAATCTCTCATCTATGTATCTACTCCTTATACGGATGTATAAACACTCTCTGCCCCAGCCCCTGCCTCATCTCTGCCTTCCTAAGCATCTCGCACCTCCAGTCCCTGAGCCTTTCCAGGATTCTGTCAGGGGACCAGCTGGCTTTTTCCATTTCCTCCCCCCTCCCAGAGAGTGTGACTTCTCTCCACTTTGATATGTCATTTGCCATTTCTCCATCCACCTTCTCTCTTCATTATTGTGGTTCCCATTAATTGATGTTCTCTAGTTTCTTCAAAAATGGGGTTTCCCTGATTGTTTCAAGGGTGATTTCATGAAAAGGAGAACAATGTCTTTATCACCTGAAAACTAAGTTATTTTTGTATGCTAATTATTTCAGTTGTCTTCACATTGCTCCTTTATTATACCACAAGAAAAGGACATGGAAATAATATTCATCAGAAATCCATCAGGTGGCAGAGGGCAGAAGGGGATGGGTAAATTCACACCTAATGGGAACAATGCACACTATCTGGGTGATAGACACACTTATAACTTTGACTCAAACAGTACAAAAGCAATTTATGTAACCAAAACGTTTGTACCCCCATAATATTCTGAAATAACATATATATGTAAAAGAAAAGTACAGTTTATTTTGCTTTGATGCTCCCATAATCCACGACAGCATTAAACAGAGGATGTGTCTGTGCAATATACACACACTCAGGGTTAGTAAGTGTTAAGTAACTAAACAGATCTTTCATTAACAAAAGGTGTAGGTGCATACTTCAGTAGAGACATTCTAAGCTTCCAGTCGTTTAAAAAGCCTTGACTACTTCCAAAGTTTTAGCTCTAAATCAAACAGCATAATCACAGAACACGAGGGCAGAATGAGACTGCTTGGGACCATTCTGCTCAAGCCCATAGCAGAGGCAAAAGGAGGTAGTAATAGTTTTCATCTCCTGCAGGCTTGCTGGTTTGGGCGCCACATTGAAATTTCAATAGCCAGGTGACTCCAGTGATCAGTGCAATGATTTCCCTTCACTCTGTTTTCTCAGCATCAGTTTACTTATTAGTAGACTGTTGTGGGTACTGATCCTGAGTCCCATGAAGCTGTTTTTGCTTCATTTCAGGGTTAGCAGGAAAACAGCCATGACCTTCAATGTCTGGTAACTCAGCCTAGTACCTGAGTGGCCTGATCTGTGAAGGTCTTCATGGTAATACTATAAATGTCTAGTTACCAGTGTTCACATAGTCACTAACTTACCTGCAGTCTTTCCCCATCCAATGCTATATCAGTTAGTCAACGCCACAATAATATCATGTAACAAATCATCCCAAACTCCACGGCTTAAAACAACAATTATGTATCCTCCCAGGACATACAACCTGTGTGGGTCAGCTAGGGAAGGACTGATCCGGGCTGGATATGGCTGGAGCAGCCCTGCCTCACCCTGCAGTCAGCAAGGCAGATTCTGTTCCACGTGTCTCTCATCCTCCTGCTGGTACTGGCAGGCCAGCTAGGGCATGCCCTTCTCCTGGCAATTGCAAAGACACAAGAGAGCAAGCCTCTGCTTGTGTCACATCTACTAACATTCCATTGGCCAAGGCAAGTCAAATGACCACGTCCAGAGTGAAGGGGTGAGGAAGCACAACTGGCTATGGTGGGAAAGCACAGCAAAGTTACAAGGCAAAGGATGTGGATGTGTTATTATAATCCTATTACTGGAGAGAGGACATGCTGCAAAGAATTGGAAATAATTCAGTCTACTATCCAGCCGCCTTCCAGGTCACCTTCCACCACCACCTACCCATGACAACTGAAGAACTGAAAATAACTCCTTAATACAAGTTTAGTTAAAGTATAACTGGAAGAATAAATCTGATACTCTTAAAGTTTGCATTCAAACACAGCCCTTTTCTAAAATTCTCCACCTCATTGTTTACCTCTAATAGAAACGATAATTAAGAGAATGTGTGTGTTGACTCAAAATTTTTTTAATGGTGACCCCCAGCCAACAACTCATTCAGGCCTTTCTATTTCTGGCCAACAAGAGCAGGTCTAAGCTACATGGGAAAAGCTAAAGGAGCTCGCCAAGAGAAAACACACCCACAACACCGAACAATACCTTCAAGTCATACTTCATTTCATTTCACGTCCTTATACTGGAAATGCAAATATGAAAAATTAAACTTTTATATCAGCTTTCAAACTCCCTCACCCAATTGCTGGGGAAGGGCCCTGGTTAAAAGCATGGCAGAGGATGGGACAAAGGCATCACAGAAGGTTCAAAAAACAAAACAAAACCAAAAAAAAAACAGTGAAAAGAAGACTGAGAGAGCATAAACAATCCTTGCTTTCTTCAAGCACATCCAGCAAAAATAGAACCAAATATCTCTATTACTTCCATTACAAGATAAAACTTTTACTTCTTTACCGCCATTATACCAAAGGCTGGATCCTTCATAAAGCTCTGAGGGGGAAACAAGGCATGTGTTGCCTGAGAACAAAGTTTTTTGTTTTTGCTTTGCTGTGTTTACTTGGTTATGAGTGATATCAGAACAAAATGTCTTCATCTAGTTTAGCACTTTTTTCCAATATACCCTTAAGAACACAGAGACTGAAATAACATCTGAGAGTCCCAGAAGTATTTTGAGCTGAGGGCATAACAAAAGCTCTGCTATGCTACATAAAATGGAGCCGAGATTCACAGATAATAACGATAATGCATTCCTGCTTCATGTTTTTCATCTTGATAGGTCTGAATTACCCACTCTCTGAAGTAGCAGAGCACTGCAACTCCCTCCCCCCTACTCAAGAGCCACCGTCTCTCAGATCAGAAGGTTGTGATGTTTCATGGCCTTATAAACAAGAAGAAATAAACACAGTTCTCACACTTATGCCTGAACCAACCTTCCTCCTTCATTTTTGTCAAAGAAATGCTTAATTTAATGTGTATGCAAGGCTGTGAAATCTGGTGCCCACTAATGAATGCACTGCCACGTATCTTAGGTTTACTGCCCCTGGTTGACATTTCAAATCATGTCATCTTCCAATTAATATTCATTCAACTTCATATCATTTTGTAACAAATTAGAATAAAAATGTACGAAAAGTTTCCATGTCTAAATGGCCTCCTCACCCCCCCAAGGATTCTAGAATTCACTCTGAGTTACCGCTTATGTATTTTATCCTAGGAACCAATAAGCAGAAAACAGATACCTTCAAGGAAAGGAGTTTCTTGTCTAAGGCACGGGCAAGTTCCAACATCATTGCGCATGGCACAGCTGAATCTGTGGCTCCCACAAACACTCTGTTGTCCCAATGGGCAAAATACTTGGAGTCATAATGGCAGGCGAGGACCAAGTGCCTTTTCGCAGTGGGATTGAGGGTGCTGATGATATTCGAGAAAGACCGGTACCCGTACGGCGTCTGACTCAAGAAGGTGTCTACTTCCAAGACCCAGTCGGCCTTGAGCCTCTGAATTCGCTGCATGATGTGCTAATCAAAACAAAAATCCAAATTTCAGATCTAAACAAGCAGTTTTCATTCATGAACTATGTTTTTAAAATTTTATGTGATGCTTTTTAAGTTAAAATTGCAGTACATGCTTACTGTAGTAATAGCAATAATGTTGCTATTAATTGCTCTTGTAATTAATAGCATTTTTCCTGTTTAAAGGAAAAGCTAATCCTTTTCCTCTCCTCAACTTTTCCCTTACCAATAAATCCTGGCCACTTGTTAATATTAATCAGTGTTAATAGTTCTATGTAGATCTTTCCACGTATCTTCTCCTTCTTTGTATAAAACTATACCAGCATACAAACATATATATTTGGCAGAGGGGTGTATGTTCTTATAGAAAAAGAATCCTACTTTACACATTATTTTTCCCCTTGATTTTCTCACTTAAGAACATTATAATATTATGGACATGTCCACAATTTAGGAGACAGAGACCCAGTTCAGTAATACTAACATCCACTTTTAATATTTCTAGGAGGCTATGAAGACATGTTTGAGAAATCACATACACCAGGGTCCTTCAGGTCTCCACCTCTACCCTAAGCTCTCTGAGGGCAAGAACTGCAAATGGTAGTTCTTTTTGTACCAAGTGCATAGCATGTGCCCAAGTTGACCAAATGCTTCATATGTAATGATCACTAACAAAAGATAGTAACACTCACCTACTGAGGATAATGTATTACAGACAGCTCCCATAACAAGGGATGGTTGGAGGATATTTGAGATTTCTGTTCACTGTAAGAATCAATAAGCAACTCCGAACCACAATGACATAACAAGCAACTTCTGCACCCAAGGCAGGTCCAGACCCACTGAAAATGCTGGTAACTATGAAAAACAATCTCTTTCTCCATCTTTCCTGGTCACCTTAGGCCTTATGGGCAATACAGTGGCTGATGGAAGAAAGCAACAGGTAAAAAGTAGTCCCACTGCAGGAACTGAAAGTATCTTCTCTATGAACCCAGAATTCGTGGGTGAGTTCACTAAGGGTTCATTTGCCTTTTCCCAACCTTATTTTCCTTTGGCCTCATTTTTCTTTCTCACTGTGTTCCGTTTTTTCCGAATATTGTATACATCTTTGTAAGTTGCCTTAAATTATTTTCTAAAAATTCAAATGGCAAACTATCAAAATAACTAACAATTTGTCCCAGGATTAACATCCAGTAGTGATGGACCTTAAGATGATAAATGAATAACTGGAAACTAATAGGAGCTTTTCCCTCCAAGAAAATACAGTATTTTCTATCCTAGCCAAGTCTCCTGTGGCCTGCCACTCACTAATGTGACATGACACGTAGGCAAGGGCCTTGGAAAAACTTCAGCAGGAAGCTTCCGAGGACAGGGGATTTAACAAGGGGAAGGACGCTGATTCTACAGTCAGTTCTGCAAAAGCCAAATAAACAAATGATTCCCCAGCTGTTCACTCCGTGCTTTTTGTAGCAGATGGACTTTGTCCTAAATAGTATCATATATGCAGCACCTTACCTTTTCTATTACAAGTTTTCATGTTGTCTTTTCACATCATCAAAAGTAATGTTTATAACCTTTTTTAAATTCAGAACTCACTTATTTTGTTATTCTCCACAATTCTTAGCATTGTGCTTCGCTCACAGTGGTCTCAGTAGACTATCAGTAAATATGGCTTCATTGTAACAGGAAATATAAGTTGATTCAATGAGAATACGTAAAATTATATGATACAAAACTTGAATAGTTTGAATAGAGAGAAATCACTGTTCATCTAAGATAAGCTTTTCCACATAATATCAAAATGAGTTATTCCTAGAATTTGGAAAAAAAAATTCCATAAAAGGGGTCATCTTAAAAAAAAAAAAAAAAAGGCATATGCTCCGCACATCTGGTCTCCAGATGATGAACTGCTCCGTAAAATGGCTTCTTCAACACCAACAGCAGCCTGCAACTTTACAAAGTTGGGACTTTAAAAAATCTATCTGTTGGCGTTGCTCAGAGAAGTCTCACACACAAACTCATTTCTCAACTAGTAACCAGGTCTCATGTATAATTTCTGATGTCTACGTTGACACTAAAATCCACAAAAGAATCAGCGAATGCCCCCAAGAGTTTTCCCTGAAGTAATCTTTTTTATTCAGTATAAATATCTTTTGTTTATCTTAGCAACAAAATAAATCATCTTCATACAAAATCAAATTGGCTGCATAATCTAATTAGGTCACCAATATCCCTTGTTGTGCTTTTTGCTTTCAGATTTAGTCTGCAAGTTCCCAAGACAAGTTTCTAGAGGCGGCTCTCCCAACGGCTGCTTTCTCACTAGAACGCTCCTGAGCAGGGAGTGCTTGGTTGTGACAGGGTCTAAAGCAGCTGTGCTTCCCCAATTCCTAAGCAGCAAAAGGCTGGGCCCTCAAGGCATGCTACATCTGGGTTTTAAAATGAGGGGAGAGAGAAGGAATTGGGAGGGAGGGAGATTGAGACAAAGATGAAGACAGATGGAGACTGAGCAGAGAGAGAAAGAAGAAAATACAAAGATAGAGATGGAGATGGGGGGAAGGGGTAGAAAGGCTACTACATGACATTCTACTTCCCAACAGCGTGGCAGGGGAGATTTATTCTAGGTTAATATTAATGAATGACCCTGGGTCTCATTTAATTAAGCTTAAATTCTAATTTCCAGATTCTGAGAAAGAATTACATCAGTAGACATCAATAGACTAGGTTTGTTTGGAGGAAACAGATTCTCCAGTATTTGCACTAAGTTTGCAAATATATCATTGTCAGAAGATTGCCACTGAGGACTTCAGGTGCCTCTTCCTTCTTGGGTGTACCACATGCAAGTCCCTCAGGCCAGCCTCCTGAGTGGAGGTTGCACCCTGGGATGTACACATCTTTCCCTGAAGAAGTTCTGTTTCAGCTGCTCAGATGCACTGTGTATCTGCAGGGTATTTTAACACCCGAAGTTTCTAGTTTGCCTCTTGTATTTATTCATTTATTTATTTACTTATACATTTATTTTTGACACAGGGTCTCATGTTGTCACCCAGGCTGGAGTGTAATGGCCCAGTCATAGCTCACTGCAGCCCCTAACTCCTGGACTCAAGCAATCCTCCTGCCTCTCCAGAAGCTGGGACTATAGGCTTGTGCCACCATTCCCTGCTAATTTTTCATATTTTCTATAGAGACAGGGTCTCACTATGTTGCCCAGTCTGGTCTTGAACTCCTGACCTCAGACAATCCTCCCACCTCAGCCTCCCAAAATGCTGGGATTACAGGTGTGAGACACTGCACATGGCCTGGTTTTCCTCTTTTTTATTTTTATTATTTTTTTTTGTGACAGAGTCTCACTGTGTTGCCCAGGCTAGAGTGCCATGGCATCATCCTAGCTCACAGCAACCTCAAACTCCTGGGCTCAAGCGATCCTACTGCCTCAGCCTCCCAAGTAGCTGGGACTACAGGCATGCGCCACCATGCCCGGCTAATTTTTTCTATATATTTTTAGTTGTCCAATTAATTTCTTTCTATTTTTAGTAGAGACGGGGTCTCGCTCTTGCTCAGGCTGGTTTCGAACTCCTGAGCTCAAACAATCCGCCCACCTCAGCCTCCCAGAGTGCTAGGATTACAGGCGTGAGCCACCGCGCCCGGCCTGGTTTTCCTCTTTTAAACAAAGGATGTTGCTTGCCCCTTTGTGAGACTTTATCGTCCTAATTTTTAAATTTATTTTTTATTCCTATCTTTGATAGAAATCAATGAAATACTCCAAAATTTAATGCCTTCAAATTATTTATTTTACAAATAAATTATCTCCTCAAAATAAAAATATTCTAATAATCCAATAGGCAACTTTGGGCTCATTGATTAGAGACCATAAAAATACAGAATGTGAGATATGGGTCCCCTAAAATGTTTTCTTTCTCTAGGAGAATCCCCAGCAACGCACATCTTTATTTTTTTTTTCACATCTTTATTGATAACTGCAAAAGTTAATTCACTAACCAATTTTATATCAAGTTCACACTCTTTTTTATATTTGAAGGTCTTCTCTAGTTACAACCCCGAAACTCCATAAATTATAAAACATCCGATCTAGTGCTCAAAAGGCCCCAGGAGGAAAAAAAAATTCTATCATTCTTGTTTAAATTCAGTTCTGAATAAAAAGATATAATCCTGGTCAAATTAAGGCCATTAGTGTAGTTCCTTCATAATACCTCTGTCATCTACCTCATTTTCCAAATGAGAATTCCTTTGTCTTCCACAGCTTAGGGGACAGGTCTCTATAAATTCATGGTCATTTTCTTCTCAAAAAAATTACAAAACCGAATCTCTTCAGTGAGATGTCTAACACAACCATCAGCCAGACCACACATAGGCAGCCCAGCAGTAGTTCCCAACACATTCTAAAATATCGTCAATAAATTTCTCATTTGCTTCCACCCCCACATGACAATGAGGATTTTGGAAAGTGCCAGTAAGTGTTCTGCCCTTCTTTTAAGAAAATGCCTGGGAGATGAGGCCCCAAGAACATAGTTGAAATGAATGGTATGTACCTCTCTCTCCAACTTAGGCATGAGAAGATGCAGAGTTAGAGACATTTGAGCGCAGGTACCACAGAACTGGTTCCTCCCAGCTCTCCGGTGATAGGATAAAGAAGTTGAGCAGGTTCTGGCCTCATCACTAATACATGCAGGACGTTTGGCAAGTTAATTCATATTCCTAAACCTCAGGTCTTTTTCAATCCATAACATTGGGATAATAATAGACGCCACACGGGAGCACCGTTGTGAAGACTGAATGAGATGATCCATGCAAAGAATTCAGTAAAGTGCCTGACCTGGAAAAAGTGCTCAGTGAAAGTCAGCCATCATCACTATTACTCCTCACGCTGCATAAACGTTAGAAAGAGCTAAGGTGCCCTTAGGGTCTCTGCTGTCCAATTCCTTAGGAGGAGCAGGAGCTGTTTAGATGGAAGACGAGAGGCTAGTGGGGCAACAGACACATGGCTGGCTAGGACGGGCATGAGGGGCAAAAGACACACAGTGGGTAGAAAGGAAGGGTCCCAGGGCCGGGCCTTGGAAGTCTCCCTCTGGCACAGCAGTGGGTGCCAAGGTCTTTTGCCTGAGGAGTCAGGCAGGTGGAGTAGTCTCAAAGGAGGGACATAGGGAGCCAGTCCCAATTCCTTCCCAAGCTGCCCCTTGAAATGGGGCTAGTTTGAAAAAAAACAGATATTCAGACGCAGGTATTCAGAATGCTTAGGAAGACTGACGCTAAGGAAACAAAGAGATATTCGAGGTCTAGTCCAGCTTCTGGCTTATTCTACCCTCCCCAGCAGAGTCTTCCAAACATCCGTAGTAAAACCAGGGGGTCTTGAAATCAGTCTAGTGGGTCATGACCTGCATTTTTTTTAAAACTAGTAAAAGAGAATTAACACTATCAGAGTGAAATGAGGGTAATAAGAGTATTTTCCATTGAACTTCTGTTTCAGTTAAATATATCGGTATGTTTGTGTGTATAAAATGTAAAATATATTTTTACTGTGGGTCAGAGTCAGAAGTTTGGGAAGCACTGCCCTGGAGAAAGTAGCTTGTTACTGGCTTTAAGCCTCCCTCCAGGGAGAAGACAATTTCCCTAAGGGGAATGCGGGCCCGACAGTACCATGCCACTCCTGGCCCGGAACCTGCAAGCAAGGACTGTCTAAGGCCATTGATGTTGGTTGTTTCGGAGTCAAGAGAACTTGGTTGGGAACGTGGAGGTGTGTCATTGAGAAAGCCGGGAGTTAAGGACTTGGGACTCGGATGTTGTACCCCAGACAGAGATTTCACACTTAAACTCATGTAGATTAACATGTATCACTTAAGTCAGAACCCACATTTACTCTCAGTCGTTTGATTTTCTTGGTTGCTTATTTGGTGAGTAACGAGATGACAGATCTGAATATCAGACAACTTAGAACTTCAGCCATAACATTACCTCTCGTGTGAGGGCAAAGCATTCAACAACCTTGAAGTTCGTGTGCCGTGTTCTCACCTGACGAGCAGCGTAGCTTCCAGGAGACCCTGGGTACCGCTCTCTCAGCAAGGGACGTAAGTCATTTTGCCACATTTCGGAAATACTGGTGCCTTCCGCAATTTGCTGAAGAGACGATGAATTCAACATGGCTGGTTGGTGATAATTCTGAGGATTAAATACGAGTGTTTCACTGGCTATCATTTCATAATATGTTTACAATCCTCACACATTTGCAATTAATTCCTCTAGCCCTCAAAAGAAAGGATAACTTTTATGGCAAATAAGGTCAATTAAACCACTCAACTTTAAAATTAGCCCTCACATCCACCACACCCAGCCGAGGTATGTTATTAAAATCAGTTTTACCTATTGGTTTTTTAATGTAGCTACTAGAAAATTTAAAATTCCATCTGTACATTTCATTATCTATTTCTATTGGACAGAGCTGATGCACATGAATGTTGCAATTCCTTTCAGCCTGAGCTTGATGATTCTATAACCCACTAAATAGTACAGTTTTTATCTTCAGTTAAAATTATTTTATTTATTTATTTATCTATTAGAGACAGGGTCTTGCTCTGTTGCCCTCCCAAGTCACTGGGATTACAGGTGTGAACCACTTCACCAGGCTCTAAAATTATTTTAATATTCTATTAATGCTCATACTCTTAGGTATACTTATATATTAGTTAGGTGAAACTTAAGAGGCTAAATAGTGGCTGGGATGATGGCTCATGCCGGTAATCATAGCGCTTTGGGAGGCTGAGGTGGCAGGATAGCTTGAGACCAGGAGCTTGAGACCTGCCTGGGCAATGTAGCAAGACCCCATCTCTAGAAAAAATTTAAAAAATTAGCCGGGCATGGTGGGGCACACCTGTCGTCCCAGCTACTCAGGAGGCTGAGGTGGGAGGATCACTTGAACACAGGATTTGGAGGCTGCACTGCAGCCTGGGCAACAGAGTAAGACCCTGTCTTTAAAAAAAAAAAAAATGAAATGAAATAAAAATAAAAAGTTAAATAAATATACCATTTAAACTTGTATTTTGGGGGTTTGACTTTATACATTCTGTATTTTCTTGTGAGACGAGTAATGATGAATCATTCATTCATTCATTACATGTTTTTCAGGCACTTACTAATGGAATGTGTTACTTCTCCTCAAAGGAGAGTGACTGACCTGGTGAATGATGAGAGTAACATAAGGATATTGAGTTATTTGGAATGCAAAACAGAAATTGGGGGAGGCTTGTCTATTTTCCAATTCCTTCTAGGACCAGTGTTAGTTGAATACGTTTAAGTAATCATGCGAGTATTTTCACTCCAGGTGAACCACTTCATGTGGCAGGTGAGAGACTGGAATTAGAGAATGCTTAGTGCCTAATTACTTAGGCTCACCTGCACTTTGAGATGGCTCAGCGTTACTCTCCAGTATTTATCGTGCAAAGAGCATGAGCTGTGGGATCAGACAGACCCTCTGAACTTAGAACCCCACCACTTACTAGCTGTGACTCTGGCCAGGTTACTCAACCTCGTTAAGGCTCAATTTCCTCATCTGTAAAAGGGAGGTAATAACACCTATATCCTAGGGTCATTAGAATTAAGTGAACTAATATATGTAAACTGCTGTAGTAAATATAGAATGTGTTAGTTCTGTTATTCTCTTCTATCACACACTAAGAGACACAGAATGCATTTTAGAACTGGAAAAGTCCCTTAGAGATGATCTAGCCCAGCCTCCTTGATTGATATCAGTAGAAACTGAGATTCATAGAAACCAGCTAACTTCCAAGGTGGCAGGAGAGTTACCAGTAAGTCCATGAAAAGATCCCTGGTCTGCAGCTTACCAGTCCTGTGCTAGTGCTACTCTGCCTCGTGCCTCATCTTCGCATTTCGGTTTATTCCTGAATGCGGATGCTGCGCCTGAACATCGCAAAGTTTGTGTTTGTTTACTGGTGATACATTTTTAAATATATTTCCTTAATAAGTTTGTCACTGCAGCCTTTACATTTCTTGGTACCTCCAGGATCTAAGTCCTCATGTTAGCTCTCAAATAGCACTTTGAGAAGAAGGCTGAAACTCGAAGACAAAATGATAGAAATGTACAGACAGAAAAAGAGGAAAACGGAGGCGAGAGGTTGCAAGACTTCCATGGTTAATTATTACTTAATCCAGCCAACAGGAGACTGTCTGATCTCTTCCCCTTTTCCCTTCTCACCATGCTTGTCACTCTGGCACTCGTCCATGCCCTAAAATGCTCTGAGGCTCTGCTCCTTTGGGACCTTGGCATCTGCAGTGCCTTCTGCCTTACAGGCTGCTTCCCTTCCTCTTTGCCTGGCTAAATCCTGTCACTTCAGGTCGCAGCTTAGAGGCCACTTCTTAGAGTGTTTACTTGCTTAATGTCTGGATTTCAAACAGGCCATCAGCTCCATGAGGGCTGAAACTCTCTCTCATGTTTACCACTCTCCGCCACACCGGATACACAGGGCCTGGTTCACACTGAGCATTCAATAAATACTGGGCAAATTCATCAAATAAGCAATCAACAGATGAACTGTGTTTCTAAAACTGTGTTTAGATAATAATAAAGTAAAATGGGCATTTTTGCTGTCATAAATACCAAATCGGTTGAATGCACAAGCAAGTATAAAGACAGAAGAGGCAGGTGTCCACCTGCTGCAATGGGCCAGCAAGTGCTGTGGTTCAATGTTGGTGCGCTTTGTTCTTTTTGAATTTCTGAAGTTAATGCTTCTGAGCTGGGTTAGCCCAGGTAGTCACTGTGACAATCAAGACCTGTCATGTCAAACGCTGTTTGAACAGTGGCTTCATATCTATTTATCATCCGTTACCCTACCCCAGACCCTAAATAGTCCTTTACTCCATGTCCACAGTGAAAAGAAATCAAGCTCATGTTTAAATGGGTGATTTATAGAGGCTTGAAAAAGCTCTTGAGATATTTAAGAAAAAACAGGAACAAAATAAATGCCCCCTGAGGGGTTGGGGGGAAAATAAATAAATAAATAAATGCCCCCTGCCCCAGCATCTTCAATTGTAAGAGACAGTGTGGATGAAACCTAGTTGGCAACCAGCACTAAAAAATGCTTAATTGATGAATAAAGGGTAAATTCAGCAGACAGGCTCACTGATGCTCATGAATTAAGAGACTTACAGGTGTTTGTTCCCCAATCTCCTGGGCTCAACCATTTAATTAACATACGTCAGTAAAGAGCCCTGTTTCACCTTGTCTCTCTGGCGGCAAAGATGTCCCTGTGAAATCACAGAGATAAAAGCTTCCCAGTCAGCGAAGGTTAGAGAAGAGGAAACCACCACCCTCAGTTGATTACTTAAGCCCTTCTATTCATTAAAGCCCTGTATGGAAAAGCATTTGACTTTCGCAACCTAAATAGCATGCATTCAATTTTTAAGGAGTGCTACTCTCAGAACTCAATAAATATAAAAACCTATGTGGAGATGAGAAGAACAAGAGAGGAAACCTAGGAAGAAAGTGTGGGCTCAGCAAGAGGAAAGTAACTGAGGCAAAAACAGTGTTGAGCCCAATGGTAAGTGCAAACCCGACTTATTGGAGGTTTATTTCAGTTGAAAGGCACTTAGAGCACTTTCTGTTGGTGCAGGCGTTCTCAGAGGAATGAGGCTCTGTTACAGACCCTGCCTTGTCTTTTCATCCAGGCAGAAAGGACAATAAGTCTGCTCTGAGTGACAACAATCTTTCAGCTAAAATAGTGTGAACCAGATATCCTGAAGAATCTCTTCTATGCTAATCACATGGTGCCAGGCCAAATTTGTAGAGCTGGCCCAGTTTGCAGAGGAATTTGAGGATCCAAACCAATGAGTTAAAGGGAGATCATCACAGAAGTGCAGCCAATTCAAGTTCAATTTCCATCCCATATGACTGTCTCCCAGGCAGCCCTCAGATTAACACCTCTGCCTGCCTGCAAAGTCAACTCGGCCAGCATTTACTGAACTCCTTCTGTGTGTCAGATGCCACTGACATTACAAATGCAGTTGGGGAAGAGTTGGAAACTGAATAAGACAACATCTGTCTTCTTTTAAATGCAAGCAGTCCTCTACTTAAAAGCAGAGCAACGTAGGCTTTAAACACAGCAATTTAGAGTCAGATCCCATCTCCCTCACTTACTAGCTGTGACTAGGAAAGGATTCCTTATCTGTAAAATGGATATTATAGTACTTACCTACCAGATGGTAGAAACTCCAAAATGACATTCTTTTTGTTTTTCTTTTCTTTTTTTTTTTTTTTTTTTTGAGACAGTCTTGCTCTGTTGCCTTCGCTAGACTGCAGTGGCATCAGCCTAGCTCACAGCAACCTCGAACTCCTGGGCTGAAGCAGTCCTCCTGCCTCAGCCTCCTGAGTAGCTGGTACTACAGGGGCACACCACCACGCCCAGCTAATTTTTTCTATTTTTAGTAGAGACAGGGTCTCACTCTTGCTGAGGTTGGTCTTGAACTCCTGACCTCAAGTGGTCCTCCCACCTCAGTCTCCCAGAGTGCTAGGATTACAGGTCTGAGCCACCGTGCCCAGCCCAAAATGACATTTTGTCTTTCTTTCCTTACCAACAGCTAGCCCACCACTGACCTCCCTGTTCCTGCCTTGGAGTGTCCATCACAGCTTCCACAAGAACCATGCGTGGTGGAGGAGTGGATGGCTAAGGACTCTTAGAACCATGGAAAAGAGGAACCCTAGAACTTTTAGAACTCTAGGTATTTCAGAATACATACGGCTCTAGAAGCAGAAAAATGTGACATGCTAGATAGAGAGAGAAGTTAACAGTTTACCAGAGCAGACCCTGGAGGAGGACTCCTAGGTGAAACCAACTCTCCTGTATGTGGTTCCTCCCTTCAAAAAATCTACCCCTCTATCCCCAATATGACTTGAATTTTTCTATTTCACCTTTGTTATAATGAAGGAAAATTCTACCAATTAAAATACATTGGGTCCCGCTTTATAATAGAGAAAATTTGAAAATAATCTAAATATTCAAGAATAAAGAAACACTTAAATTACAGAATGACGATGATTTTACATTCAACTGATGCTTTCAACGAATTTTCCCAGCCTAAGGAAATACTCATACTATTAAGCAACATAACAAGATATAAAACTGTATATGCAGCACAATCTCTAGTATGAAATAAATATTCATGTGTGTTTATTTTTTTTATTTTTTTTTTTTGAGACAGAGTCTCACTCTGTTGCCCTGGCTAGAGTGAGTGCCGTGGCATCAGCCTAGCTCACAGCAACCTCAAACTCCTGGGCTCAAGCGATCCTCCTGCCCCAGCCTCCCGAGTAGCTGGGACTACAGGCATGCGCCACCATGCCTGGCTAATTTTTTCTATATATTTTTAGTTGTCCGATTAATTTCTTTCTAATTTTAGTAGAGGCGGGGTCTCGCTCTTGCTCAGGCTGGTCTCGAACTCCTGAGCTCAAACAATCCACCCACCTCGGCCTCCCAGAGAGCTAGGATTACAGGCATGAGCCACCGCGCCTGGCCCATGTGTGTTTATTTTTAAAGTAAGTAATTCACCTTTATTGAGCATTTACCACAAGCCAGCCACTGTGCTAAGTGCTTTATATGGGTTAGCTCATTCATTCCTCATGTGTGTATATATATATATATGTATATACAGAGAGAGAGCTAGAAATAAAAACACCAAAATTATTAACAGCAATTCTCCATTACTATCTATTAACTATTAACCATCTCTAAATAGTGGGATCATGGGTGACATTCTTTTTAGTATACTTTTCTGTATTTTCCAAGTTTTCTTAAAAAAGCACATTAACTTTATAATTAGGAGACTTCAATAGAAGCCATACTTTTTAGTTCATTAGAGCTAATATCTTTTTTAAAAAACATATGAAGCCCTGCTGGGCACAGAGGTTCACACCTATAATCTTAGCACTTTGGGAGGTCAAGGCAGGAGGATCGTTTGAGCCCAGGAGTTCCAGATCAGCCTAGGCAACATCTCCAAGACTCCCTCTCTACAAAAAAAATAAGAAAAATTCTCCAACCATGGTGGTACACCTGTAGTCCCTGCTACTCGGGAAGCTGAGGTAGGAGGATTGCTTGAGCCCAGGAGTTCAACGCTGCAGTGAGCTATGATCCTGCCACTGCACTCCAGCCTGGGCAACAGAGTGACATCTTGTCTCTAAAAAAAGCATATGTCTGGAAACAAGCAATTCTAGAAAAATAAATAAATAAATAAATAAATAAATAAAGCAAGCATGTGAAGCCCTTTCAACAGCCATCGGTCATTTGCACCTAAGAGAGGACTGATTTAATGAAGTTCCTTTTAACAGCTGGCTGCCAATGTTATACTAATGAGCCTGTACTAAAGGAACAGGGCTGGGCATCAAGGGAGGAGAAGAGGGAGTCAGGAGAAGTAGCTCTGGAATATGGATCAACCCCCAGAATAACGATGACCTTTGAGCTGTGTGAGGGACATCAAAGAAAGGGGAAAACAAGGGGTCAGAGAAGAGAAGGCACCAAAAACAAACTACCTGTTTTGGAACTCCATTTAGGGTCCACCCTCACCCAGAAAGGGAAAGTAAGGTGTTCCTCTAGCCTTCCAACGTCCCTATCCCCCGACTCCTGCGCTACCTGGGCACTGTTCCATGTACATCAGGAAGGACCCACCTACTTCTAGAGAAGAGAGTAGAAGAGGAAAGGAAAACTCTTTGCTTCGGCCAAACCTAGGTCTTCAATTCGCTAGTACATAGTGGTCAAGTTTCCTCATCTATAAATTGGGGATGAAGGTACCCTCCTCACAGGGGTACTGGGAAGTTCAAGTGAGATAGTTATGTTTATATGAGACACCTAGTACCGAGACACCAATGCCCCTAAATATACATCTGTGTGCCCACCTGACAGTCTAATAATTTATAATATTATTACTATGGAAAAATTGTTGCCAGGTTTCAAACAATGAAATCATAGTCTCTGAATACAACCATAAACTGGGGTTGATCTGCTTTTACATATTTGGTGACTCTAAAAGAGACACGCCTGTATTTCTAAACAAAAGAAATGGATTTCAAAATGGATGCTTTCTTTACCACGCCTCACCTGTTGGCAGACCCACGTACCAAGGTCATACCTCATGTGATTATGATAGTCAAATGCCGTAAAAAGCAGGAAGGCATGTATTTTAGTATGGGCTGATTCATCTCCCAGGCTGCAAGACTTTACGAAAGCCTACAGAATAAGGGGGAAGGGAGCTAGAAATTGGGAAATGTCAAGGCCGATTTCCATTTGCTTATACCGTTTGCTTCATTTGCTTATACCATTTGAAAGCATTCAGTTTCTCCACGGAACAGTGATCAGAAGCTTTTTAAGACAAATATAAAAGGTATTCATGCTTTAAGAGACATTTCTCAAAAGCTAAATTCTCGTTAGTTTTAAACATTTGAAGACTCACAGCACCTTCTCCCACCCACAAATTCCTCCTGCCTACACACACCTGTGAATGATCTTTTCAGAGCAGTTCATTCAAACGGTCTCCGTCTCCTTTATTCCCTTTCATTTAGATGTATCATAAAGACACATTTAGTGTGGCTCCACATTCTAGTTTTTAAATATCCCCTTCCCAATTTCTGACCAGGAGGGTATTCACCGTGAAGTAGAGGAGAGAATTTGTATAATTCGACATTCTTCTTCATGGGGCTTCTTCTACTGAAGAAGTCGTTTTTCTTACAATGAAGTTCTTCTTGCATTGACTTCTCTCACCCTCACCAGGTTCCCAGTGGCAGGTGGTCTCTACGTGTGAGGGGGGCCTCTAAATGGTGAAGCCAAGTAAGTAAGCATGATCCAGAACTTAAGTGGGCTATTCATACACACATGCATGCGTCTGGGCAGGAGTGAGCATTCACCAGTGTGCCCTGTATTTTAAACCCTTGAGTAAATACGGGCACACTGTAAGCATTGAAAATATCTGTTCAATCACATTGTCAAAGTTTAGGTCTCTTTGCTGCTTTTCTTAGTATCTTTATAAACATAACATTTTACTCTAATACCATTAACACTTGCACAAAACTGTTACACAAGAAAAGGAAATAATTGTAAACCGATTTACTTCACACAGGGAAGCTTGCAAATCACTCTTATCCTAAGTTCCTTACATGAGATTTTCACCTACAGCTCGATAAATTTCTCTGAAAATAATATGTACCCTCTTTTGAAGGAAAAAAGATGATTTTAAAGTAGAGTGGATCTCCACTTAAGGTCCTTTATTCCGAGTGTTAAAAATCTACACGTGATCTTAGCCCAAAAGGCCGATAAGCTACTCGCTTAAAAATCTAAAACAAACACGCGTCTGCCCTGAGACTGCAGGGACGCTTCGCCCCGACAGCATCCTTGGATGCAGCAGTGCGGAGCTGTGGGCACACCCCCAGGCGCGCCCGCACCCTGGCGGCCGCGGAGCGGAGCGCGGGGACCGCTGGCATCACGGCTCCCGAGTGGGCGGCGATGCGCCCTCACCTCCCTGCTCAGCCACCGCTGGCGAGACACACTTCCTGTGCCTACCAGCACCCGCGTCAGACGGCAGGCGAGGGGAGGCCGGTGACATCACCCAGCCCCCTGGCGTATTCAAAGCCGCCCCGAGGCCAGCCCAGGCACCCTGGCGAGGTCGCAGAGCCCCGAGTCCTCGGGCACCGGCCAGGGCGCGGGTGCCTGGGCTGGGGACCGCGGCCCTGCCCCGCCTCCCGCTCTGCCTAGGTAGGGCTGGCCGGGCCAGGGGTCCCCGCAGCCGCCAAGAGCCGCTCAGGTACAATCATAGCCGAAACAGCCCCTCACCTTCTCCTCCGTCCAGGCTGCGGCGCCAGGACTGACCGCCCGGGCTGCCAAGGGCAGGGCGGCCAGCAGCAACAGCAGGTGGAGGGTGCCCACGACGCGCCGGTCCCTGCCGCTTGCCATCTCTCCCCGGCTCTCTGGGCGCCTGTTCCCGGGGCTGTCAGCGGTCACGAGCCCGGGAACGCGCGTCCTTCGCCTTCCCCCTTCTCCACCCTTAGGTCGACTGCGCCCGCCTCCCCATCGCTTCCCGGTCGCCTCCCGCTGCGTGGCGCAAACCGCAGCCGCAGCCCTCCTCCCCGGACTTTAGCAACCCCCGGGCTGGGCTGCCCGGGTAGCAACCCAGGGGCTGGGCTGCCTGGGTGACACAAGCTTCCGAATCCAAGCCAACAAAGACGGCCACTTCCTTATCTTGGAGAGGATGAAAGGAAGGAAGGAAGGAAGGGACATGGAAGAGCCTTTTTATAATATGATCTCCAGTGCCAAAACAGGGAATAGAAAGGGGAGGAAGGATTCATCAGTTCCGGGAGTTACGAAGTGTTTCCCACAGCTCCTAAAGAAGAGGGGGACAGGGACTCAACATTTGCTGAACACTGTACCAGGCACTTTTCCGATGTTCCCTTATTTAACCCATTAATCCCATTTTGCAGATGAGGAAACCGAGACCCTCTAAAGAAGGTCTGGACTGGAACCCTCAAGAAAAAGTATTTCCTCTATAACAGTACATCTTGATCTTTCTCTTTTTTCTCACAAATAGTTGCCTTGCTTCATGGGAAACAGACCATCATACTCCCAAATTAGCCTCATAGAAGACAGATCTTCATACTCCCAAATTAAGAAGAATGCTTGAGGGCGGGCGCGGTGTCTCATGCCACTAATCCTAGCACTCTGGGAGGCCTAGGTGGGAGGATCGCTTGAGGTCAGGAGTTTGAGATCAGCCTGAGCAAGAGCAACCCAGTCTCTACTAAAAGAAAAATTAGCCAGGCGTGGTGGTGTGAACCTGTAGTCCCAGCTACTCACTCGGGAGACCGAAGCGGGAGAATTGCTCGAGCCCAGGAGTTTGAGGTTGCAGTGAACTATGACAATGCCACTGCACTCCTCCTGGGACTCAAAAAACCAAAAAAAAGTATGGTTGAAGTAATTATCTGAAATCAATGAGATCTAAAATATTCAGTGGCTCTGAAGACAGTCACCTTCTCCAATGCATGCCCCCAAAAGGAATAGCCCAAAACAATTTTAATAACTTTGTAACATCAAAGGTCATTGTTAACCAGATAATCCTAGAGGAGGGGAAAACATTTCAATTTTGTCTATACATTTCTGGTCTAAACCATCAGGACAATTACTTCACCATCCTCTTGTTCCTCCACAGGGAGGATCAGGGCTTGGCCTGCTCTGAGTCATCTCCCCCTAACATATAGTTCCCCCAAAAATCAGAACAAGGACACTGACCCACAACTATTTCCCAGAGAGTAAACGTTTCAAGGTAATGAAGCCTGACAGAAGGCCCACCCTTTCTATTAATATTTTCCTAGGCTGGGCCCAAGAGTGAGTTTTGGAAAAAGACAGAAGGCTTCCCTGGGAATACACTGTTCTGCCCCCCTCTGGAGCTACAGGGGAAGACAGGATGGAAGTATCTCCTTTTCTGACGTTCAAATTGCTAACCCTATTCATGTCTGAGAATTTTGAGTGAAAATTTAAATCTCCAGACTGAAATAAAATTAAATAGCTTCTCTATTACATCCATGGACAGTCGAGATAATCAGACCACTTCAGAACTTTCTATTGATTGGCTTGATATTCAGAACAAAACCATTGTCACATTTCCCAACATATTTCCTCTCTTGCTGCCTAGGCCAACCTTGAAATACGGGGTTTCCTGAATGGCTGGGTAATAATGAAACTATTTGTTTTTCTTACCCTAATACCTTTATATCTTTTCACATGATTCCTATATAAAAGAGGAAGTAGAAATAGCAAACCTACATGAAACAAAATGTGAAAGAAATATTACGCTTAGTATAAGCAATTCAAAATAAGAAATATGGAAATAGGTTAAAATGTTAACACAGAATTTGATGATGATTTTCTATTCCGTAGGGTTCTCCAGTCTTGGTTATATTTAAGCCAATAAGATGCTGCTGCGGTTTGGTATCTACAGGAAGCAGACCACAAGACAGAGTTTAGCATGCAGGATGTGTATTAGGGAGTGCCCTTGGGACAAACCCCTGTGGGAGGAAGGAGGAACAGGACAGGGCAGAGGTAGAAGTTAGCAGCAAAGTGAGCCCAACAGCTGCACCCAACCCCATAGGGAGGCTTGAAGTTGAAATAGCCTGTCAGAGTTGTCCCATGGTGGACCAAAGTGGCTGGGGCTTTATCTTCATGCCTCAATGGAGTGATTTCCTGCGAGCTGCTCTACAGCCAAAAGAGCTGACCACTGGAGGCTGTCTGTCAGGAGATCTCCTACAGCAGGAGCAGCCCTTTCCCTGGGGGGATATGAGCTGTGCATCTCTGTATCCACCAAAAATGTATCCGTATGATATATCTGGCACAAATCTAAAACATTTCATGCAGTGAGGCTGATTTCAATAAATTGTTTTCTATGCATGTGGGCTATTCTGACAACTTCTCACAAATCTACAAATCCAATGCAACTATTTATATAGTCCTACATTCCTTATTCATACCTTTTCTTGTGTCTTACACACTAAATATCCTTCTCCTTTCCTTCACTCATTCTTCTTTTCTGTCCTCCTTCATTCAGAAAACTTCTAGAAATCCCTTATATCTGCTATTTTTTTCCCTACTACAAATTTTCCTTTCTTCAAACTCTTCCTATGGAAGATAACCAATAACTTTTACATTTTAAATAAAATTCCAGGCCTGTTTTTCATCATGGAAAAAAATTAGCTGTCTACACAGTGATACCATTCTGTTCACAAGTAGAGAGACTTTCACCTCCATTATAGTACAGATTTGACACTGTGATGTGAAAGGCATGAAGGACCCAAATGCCAAAACAAATCTTTTCTGCAAATCTGCCACAGCAGGATGTTCCCACACCTGGTCCCACCTTTAAAATGACACCATTAGACCAACGCAGTAATGACCAGAAGATTCTACTAAACCACAGCAGTGTGGTCCATGGACCCTGGGGTTTCCCTAAGACCCTTTGGATATCTCTAAAGTCAAACAATTTTTATAATAATACCAAACCAAGATTTGCTTTTTCTACTGCATTGATTTTGCACTGATGTTGCAAAAGCAGTGGTGGGTAAAACTGCTGGCACTTTAGCACCTATCAAGACAGGACACAAAACTATACTATTGAAAAAAAACAAAACAACTATACTTGTAGTCACTGTATTTTTTACTGCTACCTGTGTCTGTGACTGTTTTTTCTGAAGAGGAATTTGGAAACTCAGTATTTACAGGAGATAAGGCATACAGAAGTAAAAAGGAGGAGGGAGGTGGGTAGTGAGGCAAATGGTTACATTCTTGTGAGGCCCAGAAAATCTACATTTTATATAAGATAAAGTGAATGTTTGAAGAGAAAAAGGGAGTAAAGGAAGAATCAATTAGGTAGATGTCCCTGGGTAGGTGGAAGAATGATTGATCTTGTCTTGTCTCTGTTCTGCACCTGGGAATATAAACTTGTAATCAATATTACTAGTGCAGAATCCAGCAGACTTTAGTTTTAGGAGCTAGACTTAGCCTGTAGACCTAAAGTTACAATTTGCATGTCCTTGTTTATGGGAGGCCAGCAAGGGATTTCCTTATGCATGATCTGTGAGGGCAGTCATTGTAGATGAGAGAGGCCTCCTTGCCTTTCCCTGGAGACCTGGCTAATGCATAATGTTAGTAACAGCTATTTGTTTGGAAGTGGGTGTTGCATGATTCAGCCTCCAAGTTCGACCTTCCCTTTTGCATAAGGAGTTAAAGGGTGTGGTCTCGAGATTTTCATTTCTCTTTACAATATGTACACATCCATGAAACCACCATAATCAAGAGAATGAACACATTTACCACCCCAAAGTTTCCTCCTGTTCCTTTATAATCCATCCCTCCACTGCCTAAGCCCATGCAACCACCTATCAGCCACACTGTCTTCCAAAATTGTTATACCATTTTACACAACCACAAGCAGTGTGTGAGAGTTCCAGTTCCTCCCACACCTTCATCAATGGTCAGTGTTTAATTTTAACCATTAGGTGAGTGATTTTGTTCATTTTCTCTATTGTATTTTTGCTTTATTTCCTATTTCACTGATTTCTGCTCTAATCTTTCTTATTTCCTTTCCTCTGCTTACTTTCTTTACTTTGATGCTCCCTCCCTTCATTCTATTTAAGTTTTATAAAATGAAAGTGTAAGTCATTAATTTGTAATATTTCATTTTTTCTAATCAGAGGACTCAGACATCATAATTTCCCCCTAAGAGCTACTTCAACTGCATCCCACAAATTTTAGTCTGTTGTTTTTTTAATTCAATTCAAAATACTTTCTAGTTTCCCTTTGAGTTCTTCTTTTACCTATGAGTTGTTTAAATTGTTATTTAGTTTCCAAATGGTTGAGGATTTCCCTGCTTTTTGTTTGCCTCAAATTTAATTCCATCATGGTCAGAGACTTTGTATAAATAAATCATGTTTTTTGAGAATTATTTTATAGCCCAGAATATGATCCATCTTGGTTAATGTTCCTTGTGCACTTTAAAAGAATATGTATTGTGTTGTTATCAGATAGAGTGTTCTACAAATGTCAATCAAATCAAGGTGGTTGAGAGTGTTACCCAAATCTTCCATATAATAACTGATTTTTTTATCTGCTTGTTCTACTGATTACTGAGAGAGTAGTATAGAAATCTCTAACTGTAATTGTAGATTTTCCTACTTTTTTCAAGATCCATTAATTTTTATGTCATCTACTTCTAAGCTTTCTTGTTAAGTGCATAAACATTTAGGATTGCAATGTCCTTTTTACTAACTGATCCCTTTATCATTATGAAATAACTCTCTTTGTACTTGGTGATATTCTTTCCTCTGAAATCTACTTTTTTCAAATATTAATATAGTCACTCCAACTTTCTTTTAATTATTGTTAGTATGGTATATTTTTTCTATCCATTTTCTTTTAAATTATTTTCATATTTATGTGTAAAATGGGAGGAACATATAGTTGTCATATTTTTTTATCCAATTAGACAATCTCTTGCTTTTAAATGAGA